TGATACAATAAAATGGGGGGGGGGGAACAGTATAGAAAGCAAACTTAGATACCAGACAGTGTGGGAGGAGAGTGGGAGATGGCAGAGGGTAAGAGATAGGGAATCAAGGATGGGGAAAAAAAGCAAAACATACAGAAAACAAGAAATGGAAGATCATTTGCTGACAATAAATGTTGATGTGCTTGATTGAGACAATATACAGTGTACTCTGGATGGAAAAATCTCATTCTGTATGTGTAATGATGTACAGTGAATGAATGCAAATAAATAAATTGAAATAAAAAATAAATAAATAAATAATAAAGGGTGGGCCCTAGCACCAATCCTCCATACTGAACTCACCAGACTCATCCTCGCAGAGAAGACAGCTTCAAAGCTAATAAAGAAGGAAACTCACAAGTAAGTGAGAAAAGAAAAATAAGTGTTAATAATTTAACACAATTTGAATCATGCGACGTTGCTGATACTCAGATCTTCCAAAACAACACGATCTTTTCAGATGGTGCAACCAACACTTCTGCAGTTCTCGGAGTTTTGATGGGGGGGGGGCAATCAAGGACCATCATCAGGCACTTGCTTATCTTAACAAAGGTCCGCGGCCGCCCACGGGAACCCCGCAAACCTTTCCCCACTCTGCACAAGGGGTCTGTCGCCACAGGTGGCTCTGCGAGCAACCTGTTGTACCAGGAAGCACCAACCCCCCCCCAGGCCTGGCGCCTTCCTGCCCATGCTGGCTCCTCCGCGCCACGGGAGCTCTCCCGAGTTGCCTCACACAAAAGGAAGGGCAAACCGGCAGGCGCCGGAAGCCGGGAGACTGCAGGAACCCTCCGCTGCCTGCGGGAAGAATTGCCGGAGAAACTTGGCTTCTTCCAGTGTATCGGCTCCAAATCCCCGCCGTGGTGCAAGCTCGACATGGATGAGGAGTGCTTCCGCCAGAAAGTAGGCGCTCTGGAGCTCGCTTCTCGCCTCGGACCTGGTCCTCAGCCCCTCCCTCCGCAAGCTCTTGGGAAGCTGAGCTCGCACCACACATTCTGGTCGCTCCCCTTTGTTGTCCGGATATGCAAATACTGGCCCAGTGCGCCCTTGAGCACGTCAGTTCTCCATCCGCGAGAACTTAGGGCCCCCGCAGTTGTGCACCCAGAAGGGCCGCGGAGGGAGCAGGAGGTGTAGAGGCTTAGGTGCTTCAAGCCTGGGGTGCGTGTGCACGGGAAGGCAGATTCCCTTAGCACGCTCATCAACCCCCTCCAGCCATGGTTGGTCGTTCCGCGTCCTCCATCTGGCAGACCAGGAGAGGGTTGGCTCCTTCCTGGACCCAACCAAGGAGGCTCCACGCCCTCGTCCTAGGAGCCATCTCCGTCGCTGCCTTTACCTTAGAATAGTTACCAAGCCTCCGGCGAGCCTTTCCTCTACCTGCAACCTCCCTCCAGCGAGCTCTAGGACCCTCATCCTGTTCGTGCTCCCAGGACGTTGGCAAGCCACAGCTGCTGGCTCCCTTCCAACTGGCAGAAAGACCCAAGCGGCGCTGCGCGGCGCGGGCCATCCTGCAGCGGGAAAAGTTCGCGCGCCTAAACCGGCCCTTCGCCCCCGGCCCAATTCTTCTTTGGCTGAACCCGAATACCAACTCTCCCTCCCCGCTGTGATCCCAGCTAGCACCACCTGCCACTGGGTTGGGGTCGGAGCGCGAAACCCTCCAGTTGCCAGTGCTCGCCCCTAGTATTCTGGAAGAGGGTGCGCTCAGCCACAAGCTCAGTCTGCAGACGCCCCTCTCGCTCTGGGGTGAGAACGCAGCGACTCACCCTGTGCCGGAATCCAGCTACAGCTCCCTCCCGGGTCACCGCTGACCCTACCCCCAGTAGTAGCCGGGCCCTATCCGCCCTGACTCATGAATTATTTATGATCTGAGGACCCAGGGACGGCTTCTGGAGAGCCCGCCCCGCCGCCCCCGCACACTGCAGGAGGCCGGCTAGTGAGGGCTAGGGGACCTGAGGGGATCTGTTGCGGCCCGCCTTGTCTCTGGGCCGGGATCTGGGGAGGAAGTTGCTGGGATAAAATCATTCCTTGAACATAATCAATCCTGGAGGGAATGCTTAGCGCGTGGCTGGGTGCTCGGTGGAAATCTGGCTCTGTAACTTGAACCCTGTCGCTCTGGACGCGCTCAGAGTGGACGGCTAAGTCACTCCGCCACGGAGCCCTAGGGCACCCACCGGCATGCGTACTTCCTGCGTGGGAGCCCTGCTCGTTCCCGCACGCCTCTTTTACCCAGGCATTCATCCTCTCCTTGGAAGGTAACTATTTAAAAACTCCTTCTGGACTCTCATACCTCCTCTGACTCCTCCCAGTCACTGTAGACACTTGTTGCCCGCTCCCTGTGCACTTTTTTTTTTTTAATCGAAACAGAACAGAACACGGTTTAATTCCTTAGTGTGTACCCAACCACAGTGTTAGTGACTGGAGCTATAAAGAACGGCATAAAGCAGTACTCGCTGCCATATGTACAGGCTTCCACCACAGTAAAAAGTCAAGTCAGATAATGGTTCTAGATCACGTTTTTTAATAGCCCTCTTTAAATTGAGAATTGGATCATTTCTTGTTGTAGAGGCTGTCCTGTGCACTGGTGGGATTTTTTTTTTTTTTGAGAGGTTTTCGCTATAGGGCCCGTGCGCTTGCCAGAAAGACAGAGAGAGAGAGAGATAGAAAGCAAGAAATCACCCCCCAGGGGGGATGGCCACGCTGCAATCCTTTCTCCTCTCAGGATCTTGGGCATGCATGCACACGCGCCTGGCGTGAGTTTAAGCCACCGGGTCCAGGACTTGAACCGCGGTGGACTACGTGGGAGTCCAGCGACATAGCCATTACGCTAACTGCTGGTCCCAGCTCTGGTGGGATATTTAATAGCCTCCCTGGGGGCAGCTCCACCAGTAACAACTCCTGCTCTCAATTGGATCAACCAAAAATGTTCAAAACCTAGGGTTTGATTAAACAAAAAAAAAAGTTACTGGGGACCAACAGTTAGTGTAAAGGCTATGTCGCTGGACTCCCATGTAGTCGACCGGGGTTCAAGTCCCGGACCCGGTGGCTTAAACTCACGCCAGGCACGTGTGCGGTCGTGCCCAAGATCCCAAGAGGAGAATGGAGGAGAAGGGACTGAGTCGTGGCCATCCCCCCGGGGGATGATTTCTCGCTTTCTATCTCTCTGTCTGTCAGGCGAGCGCATGTGCCCTATAGCAAAAAAACCTCTCCAAAATAAATAAATAAAAAGTTTCTGATGAAATTGTTGAATTTAGGTAGAATTATATCAGATACATTAAATAAGGGATCCCTGGTAGCAGTTTTGGCAAATGCTGTGGACCATAGTCAAGAACTGAAGCATCCTTACCTACACACTCAGGCAACTTGACCCATTTAAACTACCTTCTGGCCCTGTAGGCAAGTGAGTGTTTTTCTCCGCATTACAGGATTTTTGTAGTTGATAAACACTTGTTTTCTCCTGTAATACTCCAAACAAACCTATTGGGTAGGTATTATTAGCCTATTGGACAGATGGAAAGGAAAAGCCGGGGTCCAGGTTATAAGCCCATGGTCCTAGGAGGAGCAGACTAGGTCTCAAAACTCTGACTCTTTATCAGTACTCCACTCACTACGAAACAGAAGAGCAGATTTGCACTGCCTGGGTGTGAAATTATGCAAGAAACTTGGATTTCAACTTAAGTAGGTAATTTGGGCCCTAACCTGAGAGATCTTTTAGTAAAAAGCTCCAGTAACTAGGAGAGAAAGAACAGGGACTACCCTGGGGAGTTAGCTGTCACCCCAAGACAACTTGCAGAGTGGATTATTTGGGGAAACATAGCTTGTTTCTTGGTGTTCTTCACTGGAAGGTTTACAAACACACAGTGAAATGTAGCCCAATACTTGTCTTTAATCCAGCTTTCCTTCTAAGTTTGAACATAGTTTGAACTTAGAAAAAAGTATAGAAGGACTATAATGGATTTTCCCCTATACTAAAAACAACAACACAAAACAAAGACTAACAAAAAAATACAAAAAAAAAAAATAGCATGCACTAGGGCTTCAGTAATTCTCAAAGGAAAACAAAGCGCAATAAAATGAAATTACAAACTCTTTTAAAATAATTATTTTATTTAACTTTATTGTGTTTATTTACTTTGACCAAAAAGGGACAGGGTGAGAGAGAGATAGAGAGAGAGAAAGTGAGAAAGCAAGCTGCCAGGTCCGAGACTCTAGCCATAATTAGCTATATGGGAGTCCAACACCCTTAACCATCTTGCCACCTGCCAGCCCCAAATTATAAATTCCTAAGAAGACAAAGTAGTAACAGCAAAGTGTTCTGAAAGGGGTCAGCAGGTGGTGTGGTAGTGGTTATTGTACTGAATTCCCACGTGGCCAATCACAGTCTGTGTCCCAGACACGGTGGCTTGAAAATCATGCCATGCATGTTTGTGTGCCTGCCCAAAATTCCGAGAGGAGAATGGAAGAGAAGGAATTGTGGCATGGCCATCCCTCCAGAGGGTGATTTCTCACTTTCCTTCTTTGATTCTCTCTGGTGAGTTCACAAGCCCTTTGGCAAAAAAACTACAAAAATAAATAAATAAATAAATAAATAAATAGTTCCAAAAGACAGATGATGTATATCCACGGGGCACTTTTGTTATATGTTGCTCCCACTTACTGACTGTTATTTGCCAGACACTGAGTAAAGTATTTTCTATACATTCTTTTATTTAATTGAAGCTGCCTAGGGGAGTTTCGTTATCACATTTTCCAGAGAAGAAAATTGAGGCTCACAGACCCAGGCAGGCTTCATTTTCCTCTATATTAAGGATAAGTTACCATTTATTGGGGCCAGCAGGTGGTGTAGTGGTTAAGGCACTGGACTCCCACATGGTAAACCATAGTTTGAATCCCAGACCTGGCAATTTGAAACTCATGCTGGTTATGTGTGCACGTGTGCCCAAAATCCTGGAAGAAGGGATTGTGGTGTGACCATATCCCTGGGGAGTGATTTCTCGCTTTCTGTCTCTCTGTCTCTCTGGCAAGCACGCACGCCCTATAGTAAAAATCTCTCCCCCCCCAAAAAAATAGTTGATCCTTATTGAGGCAACCCCACCTCAATACATGCTTCACATAATAATTAAGATAATCCTAGGAAGTAGATATTATCCAAACAAACGAAACAGGAAAATATTGAGTGTTTCGAGGCTGTACAGTGCTAGTTGATGGAAACTTAGAGTCTAGGAAGGAAAGAAGTCATTAACAAATACTTCTCGATGAAGTGATTGTCAAGTAAGAGGACATATCATGGTTTATCATGAATATATATATATATATATATATATATATACACACATGCACATATATACATGTGCATACATATTCATATCCTAGGGTGCCTTAACAAAGTACCACAGACAGGCTGGGTAACTTAAACAAGAACTTAGAAAAAGAAATAGAAGAATTAGTTATTCATGGAAAATGCATTGTCTCATAGTCTGGAAGTCAAGTTAAGGTATCAGCAAGGTTGGCTTCCTTTGCAGTGAGGACAGAAGTCTGACTGCTTTATCCTATTTCCAAAGTCCCTTCCATAGGGCCGAGGTGAGTAACGGCCACAAACATTAACAGGTAATTTTGATTCATTTGATACATTTGATTTATTTCCTACATCCTGTCCCGGGCATATCATCTTAGTGATGAGTGAGTCATGCCCATGAACATTAAGAGACTATTTTGACTCACTAATAACAGGGCCCTTCCTACATCCAATCCTTGGGACAATAGCTTATGATGTATATAAGCTCCCTTATCTTTGTTATAGTACACTTTTTTGCAGATGCCTTCCCAAAACACAGATTTTCCTTTCCAATTACTACCCTAAGAATTGTAAAACCTACCTATGACCTACAAACCCCCATTTGCGGATGTTCTTCCTTTTGGGGCCAGACCAATGGAAAACTCTTTTCACTAAATTTCAAACTTTGTCTATCACTCTCAAAATAAAATAAAAGGAATCCCAAGAAAGACATGCTTGTCTCATCTCTGGGCTTAGGAAATACACATTCACGCTTAGAAATAAACTGCATTAATTATTATTTCTGCAGAGTTGGTCATTTCCATCTATCTCTGTATCCATCTTTCCACCCATTTTAGAAGACACCAGTCATATTGAATTTGGGACCATCTTAATGACCTTATTTTAACTTGATCATTTATTAAAAACTCTGCTCCCAGATAAAAAAATATGGTATACGAGTGTCTGCACTCTAAATATATATATATATATATA